GCCGCCGATGCTCTTCCTGATGAAACGGAACGTTCCGAGCAATCGGGGGATTCGTTTCGCCGCCAGTGTGAATGTGAATCTCGCGAAAAAGAGCAGAGAGAGAGAGAGAGAAAGGGAGGATTCGGCGAAGATTAATGCGTTAGCGAGAGTTTCGGGTCATCCTCTTTATCCTTATCCAGGGGGAGGGGCTACACCGGAAGATAGATAATTTAAAAATCCCGCGCGAACGCGGAGATACTGTTTCCTCTGTTTCCCGATATCCACCTCATTTTTTATACGTTTCTTCTTGGTCCTTTTTTCATTTTCTATTTCTCTCTCGCTCTCTCTTCCATTCTTTTCTGTCTCTTTGTAGACTTATTATAACGGCAGCCGCGAGTAATCTCTTCCGCGACCTGATTCTTGCCACGAGCGTTAACGAGAAAATCAATTCACGGTGTAAAGAGTCGCTCGATCACAGGATTGCGCCGCGCGGACAATTTAGGGTGTTTGTCACTATTAGACTGAGGATTTTCATGCATTCACACGATGGTGAAGCAGAGAAATTGCATATGATATGAAGAAACATCGAAGTAGAGTGATTTTTACAACAGTTTTTTTTCTATCCAAGTTCTGTGTTTTTTTAACTATCAATTAGTGTCTAGTAATTACTATTGGATGATTGAAAGATGGACCTTTGCCAAGTGGTAATTTCACTCCGGTTATTCGATTGACATTAGCTTGAAGCAGAGAATTTGCATGAGAGGAATGCTCAGGTAAAGAAGAAAAACGACGGAAACATTTTAAAATACAAGCTTTCATTCCTATCACTTTACGAATAATCGTTCGAATCTCTGAAGATACATTGTTCCACATCTATGAAAATTATCAATTGGCCATTTTGATCACTTTGGTGTCAGGAATATACTTTATTTTACGACAAATTAATTTTCATCTTAAACATTCAGTTATCCCACTGAATATTGAAATAATCATGTGATACAGTGTATTGCGATTGTTAAAATAATTTCGTGACCTACCTGCATAAATATCAAACGCAAAATACATGTTTTTATTCTGTGTTGGAAATATATACTCACACCTGTTGTCTACGTTTTTACATTCATTACGTATTTATTTTAAACTTCAAAACAATATAATATAATATAATATATATTGGTGCACATTATATCATATTTTATTATATTAGTACGTTATTATAATACATAGTATATTCATAAAAGATCCTCATAAGTGTTCGAATTTCGTTTCGTTGATTCGGTGTGTTTATTCTTAATACATTTATATTTATTTTAAACTTCGAAATGTATTTTATTATATTTTATTATATCGATGTACACTATATTATATTATATTGCATATTCAATATATTGTATATTGTATATTATATCATATATTGTATATTGTATATTATATCATATATTGTATATTGTAAATTATATCATATATTGTATATTGCATATTATATCATATATTGCATATTGTATATTATATTATATTGTATATTGTATATTATATTATATTATATTGTATATTCAATATATTATATTATATTGTATATTGTATATTGTATATTATATTATATTGTATATTCAGAGGTCCTTACATGTGTTCGAATAATTTCACGAGCAACTGTGTTCTCGTCGATTCAGCTTACCCTTCGCGGAAAGATCATCACGGTTCCACGAACACGCGTTCCCCGAACAATTACGCGAGTTCGTAAGTTCAAAAGCTTGCTCTATCCAGTTTTACGTATGTAAATCATGCGCAAGCAGGTAAACCATCTTTGCAAACAACGCGGTAATGAAATGCTGCCGCTATTACCAACCCGCGAATGGATGTTTGACAACATCAACTCATTAAGAACGATTCGTTACCGTGAGGATGCTGGCTGAGGAAACATTTTCTTGCCTGTTCGAGCTAACTCGAAGCCGAAACTGGAACCCCGATGAACGAACTGAAACTGTCGCCAAGTAGCATCGATCCTGTGTTCGCTGTGTTGCAAATCGAGGAGGAAACTCTCCGAAGATATCAGCGACGTGTATGTTTTTTTTTTCAGAGGGAAACGTGATTGTCCTTTGAAATCATTTGTTACAGTTGTAATGGGTTTTCGTATAATGTGTGTGGTGGAACGTATTCGAGTATTAATTTGTTTCGAGATCAAATGACACTTTGAATAAGTATTATAAGACTGCAGATTTTTATGCGTGTATGGAAAGTCAGAATGAATGCATATAACTTGAAGGAAGTGTTCAAAGTACAGTGTTTCTACAACATTCGGATGTCTACGTAGAACAACTTTCCACCAGAGTTCTTAACTTTTTTAAACTAATGCACGTTCTTAAAGCGGAATCACGTGAAACATTAGTTTAAAAATTTTATTATTTAAATAAAATACGGCGGGTATCCGACTAGAAATTGTCTCGGAAACCTGTGCTCGGTTTCAATTTTAATTAAATTTTAATCATACGTCGAAACATTCCCATTATGTTCTTCGTGTAATTTAATAATTAATTTACATAGAAATTGTGAGAGATTGTACATTGAAATCATTCAATTTGTTGAAATTATCAGGGATACTCACAAGTAATGTCGTCTCTTGATACTGTAGAAAATGTCATTTTATTTACGAGTTTAATAGAATATTAATCCGCAATGTAATTCAACAATAAGCACACTAAATGTCAATACATTTAACTAGGATATAGATTATATCATAAAATATCTTAAAAATATATGTTATGTACAAGTTATAGTTATAATTATCGTCGCTAGATGGCAGTGTTTTTTTTAAACTTGAAAGAAACGACACTACTTATGAGCACTTCTAATGCAAAACATACTCTCGTCGTGCTCGTTCTTTGCCCATTTTAATATTAACATTAACAGGAACTGATTTACAGCGTGCAGAATTTATGTCGGCAACGTTGTCCGTAGCGCAGAACGTGTGAAACGTGCGCGGCTGGTCAAACGGAAGTCACTCTTCATCGCGAACGAACATGATGGCGCGCGTGAAATCACGCGTCTGGCCGGGACGCGTTTATTTTCGTCTGGCCGGCTCGTTTCTGCGATTACGCGCCCGCGCAATAACTCCTCGTCGCCGGACAGTCACCGGGCGCGGGTTCGCTGAATTTAATTAAATCCACCGCGGAGACGTAATTCTCTAATTTAGCGAAAAACTGGCCGAAAATTCGCCGGGCTCGCCCGTAACGAATGATCCTCAGATTTTCACTTAATAAAAGTCGCGGACTCGCTCGATTCGGACTCACCGCCGAACGTAAATGTTACGCGAGTTATTCATTGCATTTCTGCATCGAGGGGAAGCTCAGTTTTAGACAATGAATAATCCGCCAAGCGTGATTCTTTCTTTTGTTGCCACGAATCGAGTTTATTTCGAATTTGACGGAGATAAATTTAGTAATTCGACGACCCATGTTCTGTTGTTTGCACAAAAATTTCGATAGAAACTAAAATAGAACATTATGTATCATGCTCTCTGCATACATGTCGAAATTCACTCGTTGTAATCAACGATTCTAGATTTGAAAAGTAATCAAACGGCAGCGTATAATTATTCCTCCTCAAATGTTTAATGCGCATTTCATTCTGCTTGACGAATCGCGGCGTCTCGCGAGGAAATATGGCAGCTGAAGAATCCCACTTCCTGCTTCTTCTTTTATTCTTTTTCCTTTTTTTTTTCCTGCGAATTCAGACAGTGAAGTTGTGTTAGGATGATACATGGCCAACCGCTGGTATGCGTCCAGAGATTCCAGCCGCGACACACAGTAACTTCGTGCCATCGTGATGTAGAATTATGACGGAAGGCCGTTCCCTTTTTGCTTGTCGACCGCCGCAGAAGGGGCAGGAATGGGAAGTGTTTTTCTGGCTGAAAACGAAACTATAGGGCTAAAATTTACGAAAATGCGGATTCTCCACACTCGTTTCAACATTACTTTCTTCAAAACCGATCTCCCAATTTATTCGAACGAATTAATTGTGTTTTTCGTTTTCTTGATTATCGCCGTGCAGAGAAGTTTCTCGTTTATTTGATCATAGTCACTCTCGTAAGAATTCTCGTGATGAAGTGAACTTTCACACGAAGAAGAAAAATGAAAGTTAGTCGCGATTCTCCATTGAAGTTTTAGTTAAAAATCGAGTTAACGTTGCGTTACCAAGTTTATAAATTTCGACGGTGAAATGTTGAATTGGACTCTTTCTCTGCGCTGTTGAATTTCGTAGCTTCAAGTAGTACAGGTCAATCATTCACTCCCGTCGTACACGTTCACTTACGCTCATCCTCCGAAGTTGAGATACAATTAAATATTTAATTTGCTTCGTCGATGTTGTGTAACGTTAAATTATATTTTTCAGCTGCATCGTTAGTTAATTTCACTGATACGAGTAGTATAAGTCGATGTATATACGATTTATTTACAATTTCTACTGTTATTCCTCAAAGTTAAGACACAAAGTGATCGATCTACACTAATTGGAACGAAAAATGAACAATATTCAATATTACAGTGAGAACGTCAAGTGGATGTGGAGAAAGGAAACTGAATATTCAAAAATTCTTTTTGTACGTTGCGAGACGGAAAAATCTTCAATTGCAAAAATATTTTTCGATCCACTGTAAAATGTAGTGCGTTCAATTACCGTGATGAAGAATCATCACCTTTTGCCAAAAAAATTCCCAACGAATTCGGGACCCACCG